CTTGATCTCCATCTTCCCTTCCACGTCCTCGCCTTCAAAGGTGCCCTTCCACTGTACCTTGACCTGACGGCGGAAAAGGAACTGCAAGGATGAGCTTGAGGAGAAAAAGGATCCTCTGATGACGACCGCAACGCATTCGGGCAGCCTCCAACCGCAGTGCGAGGAACAGGAGGAGGGGAAGGAGGGGGAGGCCTTGAGAGGCTTCCCCGAGCTGTGTCGGAGGACCAAAAGTTCTGGATGTCTGGAAGGCTTCAGAGGGGGACTCGAGAAGGTCAGCACGAGCAGCAGCACCGATCCATCGGGGCAAAACTGTCCACGTCGGCAGGTCGATCCCTGGGGTTGCCCAAGACCTTCTCGACTGACCCCGACGGCTGCCAAAGCCATCCCACGACTGAGGGTGAATCGCCGGCGTCGCTTTCGGCAGCAGCGCACGGCCACTCGCCGGCGGCTGCTCGCAGGCGGCTGCTCGCTGATGGGACGGACCCCCTCGTCGGTGGCCGGTGGCTTCTCCTGCGGATGGCCACCCTGCGGATGGCCGGTCGCCCGCCCGCGAGTGGCCACCCTGCGGATGGCCGGCACGAGGTCTTCGAAAGACCGGAATCGACGAGGCAGCGGGCAGGACCGAGGGCCCGAGGCCCCCACGCATGGCGAGAGACCGAGGCGCATCTCGAAGACGGCCGAACGACTCCAACTGATCGAAACAGCAGGGGTCGAGGTCATCGACCGAATCGAATCGAAGCCGGTGCCGAGGGCCCTGCGGGGACTGCGCGCTCGCACACCACCCACCGCCCACCAACCAACCGCGGGCAGGGCGAGAGGCGGCCCGGCGCGCCTCGAACTCAAACCCGAGGCGGGGCCTGGAGCGTCGCGCGCGCATGCTGGAGGGTGGATAAGCGCCCTGCGCCCGCAACTTGCCTCAGGCACGCTTGGATGCCTGCTGCTGCTAGAAACTGCTACTACTACTACTACTACTACTACTACTACTACTACTACCACTACTACTACTACTACTACTGTTACTACTACT